TGCTGGAGGAAGAAGATGATGCAAAATTGTAATTTGGTGGGCCCCACTTTTGTTTTTGCGTTGGGTATGACCATGTCATTATTTATCCACGTGTACAACTGACGTGACTTAAATTTTTGATATATCTGTGAGTTAACAGACGATTTTTAACGGAAGGACCAAATCGGGGTAAAAATGGTAAACAGTAGGGACCAAATCAGGGATTTTTTTAGTTTATGGACCAAATCGGGGTAAAAATGGTAAACAGTAGGGACCAAATCAGGGATTTTTTTAGTTTAGGGACCAAATCAAGGGGTCCGTACAATAGTTCAGGGACCAAAAAAGGGTTTTAACCTTTTTTTATGTTGATTACATAATAAGAGGTAATTTTTTTTCATTTTTGATTTTATCTCACCCGCATGTCATACAATTCAAACTTAAATCTCTTAGTTTTAGTAAAAAAAATTATTATTAAACTACTTAAATCTTGACCAAAAAATTAATTTTAAGATGTTCAAAGATAAAAAAATATATATTATACAGATTAAATTATACTTTAATTTTAAAATGCTTAAAAATAAAAATAATATTTTATAAATTAAATTAAATTTTAAATAAATTTATTAAAATATATAAAAATACTTTTAATATAATCCAACGTGTAAAACAAGGAATTTACAAAGAAAAAAAAATAAAGAATAAAAATGTTCAAAAAAAAATAAAGAATAAAAGAAATTGTTTTGGAAGGAAATCAATGCTGCAGTTCTGGCCGAGACTGGGACCAACGATCAATGTGAGCCGCGGGACCCACTTTGACGCGGTTTTGTGGGGACAGAGTTGACGGCCGTAGCTGACGTCGTCACGTGGTTGTATGGGCTAGGGCAGTAGGCACCATCTCCCGCTGTCCATGATCTATTTTGCCTAAAATACAACCTAAGTTTTTTTTTTTTTTAAGGCATTTTATTTGGGGTTTTCTTTAAAATTTGCTTTTTCTTAGTGGATTGTATTTTAAAATATGAGTAATGATCAGGGGACGAAAGTGCGAAGTGAAATTGGGCAACAACAAGTGAGTGAGGTGAAATTGGTAATTTTATATCTTATAATTTTTACTTGTTGTCTCGTATTTTCGTCCTACACTTTCGTTATCCTAATCATTATTCTTAAAAATTTGCTTTTTCTTAGTGGATTGTATTTTAA